CAGAATGCCGTGCCACCTAGACACGACAAGACGAGCGGCCGACCTAGACCGTCGCCTGCACTCGAGCCAGTGCTGGTCATGGGCAGAAGCTGACCACAACATGGACGGTAGCTGAAACACTTGGTTGAGCTTGAACAGTGGCAAAATGACAAACATCACATAGCATGCAGTATTTCGCGCCGCTCGGACGGCAAGTAGTGACTTCTGCTCTTGCGTCATCACAGCGCAACAGGGGTCTTGGCAACGGGGTCCCCTGTTACCCCGACGCCAGTACTAAGGACTACGCAGCAGCCCCACCAGGTAGGCATTATGATCTACGATAGCCAGATCCCTGGAATTGGCACGTCGGGGTTTGCTGTTGTCATTACATACGTAGCAGATCCACCGGCCAGCCTCAAGCCGACCCAGTAGCGCTTGGTAGTGTCCACTGGTGGTTTGCTGTCCCTGATGAAAGACTGCTGCTACCACCCTAAATTGCTCTAATCTCGTGCAGGCGTTGCCATGGTCAGTGAAAACAGGCATAGCCACAGTGTCACCTGGTCGCACCGGCAGATATTGCATGTTTTTGTTGGCTCCGGCACTGTATCTGCAGATTTGAAGAAACAAGCAACCCCCATGATCTGTCAGTGCATGTGTGGCAAACTGCGCATGCCAGGAATCAACGAGTGCTTGCAACGTCTCACCTGGTAGGTGAAGGAACAGCGGGATGCCAAGGTCACCTGAGTCGTGCACTCTAGGAGGATTGGTCAGGCGCGCTTCCCAGCTGCCCGCACAAGCTCCAGGCTGGGCAACAGCAAGTACCCTCTGCAGGAACTCTCCTGCATCATGCTGCTGATGCAAGTGCGGCCACCCTCGAAAGAGTGACTGCAACATCATGCAATTGGGCAGGGTGAGTTCACCAGCTGTTTTCAGGACTCTGAGCCCCGCCTGCAGATTGCCATAGCAGGCTTGTGCCATAGTGGACACCTCACCTAACCAGTACACACACTGCAGCAGGGCATTGCAGTAACACAGGTTGGTGTGATTGCGCAACTTCGCCTGCGGTAGGATAAGGTCGGCACGCGTGGAAAGCTGCACCACCTCGCGTGCAGCTGCGGCTTGCCGACCTAGGCGTCGCCGCCCCACTGTGTCTGCTTCCTCGTCCACTCGCAGAACGTGGTGCCCATGTAGGACTGCTTCAGCTGTTTGATCAGCTGCGGCTCCTGGCCCCGTTCGGGGCGAATCCGCACTCCAATCAGCTTCATGATGGCCGAGCCGCTCAGGAGTCGTAGGGCATTGAAGCAAATGGCGCTTGATTCCCCTCTCAGGCCGATTGACACCATGAATGGAAGAACCTCGGCCTTGTACTGATCCTGCGCTGTCATCCGCCGGGATGTCTTGAAGTTTTTCAACACCCCCTCTTGAGGGACATGCTTCATCAGCTGATCCACCAATCGGAGAGCCTCTGTATGCGAGATCGGCGGATCGGCTGCGACAATTTGCTTCTTGGCTGCAGGGTCCCATGAGTGGTACACCCACTTGGGACTCAAGGCGTTGTCCCCGGTCACCGTCCACCCAACATTCATGCAGCGCTGGAGTTTCTCCTCGTCCGCCAAGGTCTCCTCCGCGGTTGTCTTCAAGGTCTCCAGCATTGCCATGAACATCACCAGACGCAGCGGGCCGGCTGGTCACCGTGATTTTGGTATACTGATCCTGCCAGTTCTCGGCTACTCTTCGAAGGACCGGCAGACACCCGAGGCCTGAAGTATCTATGAAGACCATGTAGCCAAGGTCCTGTTTGAGACGTTGAATCTCGGCCTCGTGGCGCAACATTGCACGCACCATGTGGCTCATCAAGTCTTGCGTCGCTTGGTCGAGCTGCGGCATCGGGGTGTTCTGATACTCTTGTTGAGGCTGGTCCCAGGACCTCTTCGATCCTCCCCAGCTTCCTTGGTGCCAGCCACCTTGCGAGGGGCCCTTTCCGCCCTTCGACGCCGGCTTGGCCCACTTCGGGCGACGCTCGTCCTCGGCCGTCTCCTTGTTCTCCTCCACGTCTCTCATGGACGGGTCCGATGCTTGGCCCTCCCCTCCAGCTCCTCCTGAGAGCGTTCCATCGCCATCCTGGCGCAAAAGCAAGGATGCAAGGGAAGCCTGATACAGCACCGTACAATGACGCAAATGTCTGCCTGGCTGCTGCACTGGAATGCCACAAAAGCTGCAATGGCGTAACGCGCGCAAGCCCGCACTACAGCATTGAGAAACAGCAGCATCATGCAGGCGCCACGCTTCAGGGTGCATGCGACGCTGGTGCTGTTTAACCCTTGCACTCCACTGTCCACAGATGACACAATACTCCTTGAGGCTGTCTTTGTAGACTGTTTCCTCAAGCGGTCGTTTCCAGTGCTGCCGAACTAACACCTGAAAGGAGGCATCACGCAACAAGGCAGTCTGCTGCTTGCCTTCATTTGGTGAAAGGACAGGCGCAGTTGTCGTCTCCGGTTCTGACGCAACCGTTGCTGCAGGAGCAGTCTGAGAGGTCCGGCACGAATGCCCCAGCAACCCATCCCGAACCCCAGGGACCTGACCTGGTGGCTCGTCGACTACTCCCTGGCTTTCGGTTGGTGCCTTGCCCTGATGCAATTGATCCGGGTGCTGATCACAACCCCGTTTAAGGTGCTTCTTTAATCCTTCGACTCGCGTGAAGTTTCGCAGGCACCAACGGCAAGTGGGCATTCCATCTACACCCCCGGCTACATACTCCGCAGCAGGTAAGACACCAATATGCTGCTGCTGTGTACAACCGACGTGGCTCCGAGCCCGATGTGAGCGCACAATCCGAACACTAGGGAAATAAACGCTACAATCCGGACAGGCAATCCCTTCATAGACGGCAGCAGGCTGCAGGCTGGCGTCATGAGGCTGCTGCAGGAGAGCTTGAAGCTCCAGCTGCTTAGCACGAAACCACTGCAGGTCTTGTGGATCCAGAGATTTAGCTACTCTACGCTCCAGGGTTTGGTAAAGAACATGTAGCGGTGATGTAGTCCCCAGCCTACTCCGCAAGGCCTCTGTGCTTTCATGAGAAAGAAAAGCTGGAGACCGGGCTACTGCGCGCAGTGCTCTGGAGTCAAACTGTTCAATTCTCCTAGCAACCTGAGGTGTGATTCCCACTGCATGTAGGCCATACAAGAGGCTGCTCCGCACGCATGCCTGATAAAGCCGGGCTCTCTGTCGTAGCTGCAAGCGCTTGCTTCTAAGGACCCTTCCTAGCCTATGCTTACATCCTAGCGCAGCTTGACTTCGGTGCTCATACGTCTGCCTCTCAAATCCAGTATAAGAGGCAACAATGCCTAGGTACACCATGGATTGCACCCTAGGAATCGCAATGGGATCATGTGGTGTTCCCAACTGCAGAACCGGGCCTTGAGGGCCTCTTTGGGTACGGGTCTTAAGCCAGCGCTTAGCGGCATTGCCTTGCAGCCGGACAACAATGCGCGATTTGTCCATATTCAGCTGCATGCCGAATTCACGGAATGTCTGGAAAGTGGCTCGCACACACCTAACAAGAAACTTAAGGTCCGTAATGCTACTGATGTCCCAGGTAAAATGTGAGTCATCTGCGAAGAGTGTGATGGCCTGCGCAGCCCATGTGGACGTGGTGCGAGACGCCAGAACGTCATAGATATGACAGGTAAACAGTGTGAAAAGCAATGGACTCAATGCACAGCCTTGTCTGACCCCGTGCCGCATCGGAAACATGCCTGCCTGTCCTTTGTGAGAAACCTTATAGACACACTGCATATGAAGCTTGATGATCAGGTCTCTGAGTTCAGGGGGCACCTGTGCATGATCCAGGGCAGCATGCAGAGCATCACGGGGGACTTCGTCGAATGCACGACTGAGGTCCAAGCTTAACATTGCACCCCCACAACACGCACCAGCCACTTTCTTGGCACGTCTATCATGAACCGACAAGGTGGCATCGTCATTACTCTGGCTATTGCCCCGTCGATGGACTTACCTGTGATGTATGCGTACTGTGGCTTGGACATGACAAAATCTTGCACGATGCATTGCAGTCTCTCCCTCACCGCCATGGCCACGACTTTGGAGCTAGGGTCCTGCAGGCCTAATGGCCTAAGGTCTGCTGGCCTCCTGCTAGTTTTATGAGGCTTGGGCAGCAGTGAGAGCGCGCAATCCACCACCTCTGGCGGCAAAGGGCCGGACTGAGAGCAAGTCTCATTCAAGATCCGAGCCAGGCGATCGGCGTACTCGGACGGGCACAGTTTCCAGATTTCGGCAGGTACGCTAGTGGGAGGAACCGCCTTTCCATTCTTTAAACCCACTATCGCCTTGCCCAACTCGGCTGTCTCAAATGTAACAGGTGCATCCATCACCAGACAGGTGGGTTCTGGCCCATCAAATGCGGCACGAAAATGCTGCAAGATATCTTGAAACTCCTCTCGAGGCCCAAGCATGCTGCCGTTAGCACTGCGTATGCGAACTTTCTCATGTCGACGCCTAGGAGCCAGCTTATTGATCACCCTATAAACCGCACCTATATCATTGCGCTTGGCAGCGTCTTCGGCTGTCTGGATATGCGCTTCAAACCACTGTTGCCTTGCAGCCCTGCTGGCGCATCGCAGTGCACGGCAGTGTCTACGGAAGGTAGCGTACAAGCGCCAGGCCATGACAATGCCCCTAAGACCCCTATTTTGACCGTGGCGTTTGAGCGCCAACTGTGCTTGTTTCATGGCCTGGATGCAGCGCACAACCTCCGGCTGGGTGCTAGGCTTGCTCCGCACCGATGCAACACTTGGAAAAATGCGGATGCAGTGGCTGAGCATTCTCTCATTGAGCTGCTTTAGGGTGGTGTCAGGAGTGGCAGAGTTTAGGGTATGCTGAACCCAGGCCTGCAATTCCTGCGCTCGGGAGTCCCAATTGCGGAGGGATTGTCGTAGGACTGACGGGGAAAACTTGACACTGGGGCTATGTTTTGGCTGGAATGTCCAACCAGCGCGCCAAGGAATGCTCGCCAGCACTGCCCTGTGCTTGGCACCTTCGCGCCACGGCGCTAGGTCAAACGGCACCGGCTTGGCAAGTCTGGCTGTATGATCTGCAGTCGGTCTACGCATGGCTATGAAGTCAATCTGACTATAAACGTCATCAAAGCGATACGTATGACAAGCCGCCCTAGCAGACCTACCCCAGGTATTCAGCAAAACAAGTTGATGTTCGTTAAGAAGAGCCTCAAATCCCGGATCAGGCTGATGACAGGTCTGAAGAGTTCCCCTGCCTATCAAGCCCGAAACAGGTCTACATTGCGTGTTAAAGTCTGCTCCAACAACGACAAGGTTCCTGGTGGGGATGCTGTGCAGGAGCGTACCAAGGCTCATCCAGAACCTACTGCGCTTCTCCGTAGTGGCAGCTGCTCCACTTTCAGTGCGCACCCATTGGTAGCCAGCAATTACGTCCAGAGTTTTACCTGTGGTGGTACACCGGACATGCAAAAGGCGCCCCGGCAGACTGGTTGCGTAGCTGATGTTATCCGGAGCCGCAACGCGATTGGATATAAGAATTCCGACCCCGGCAAAGCGCTGCTGCGGGTCCGCGCTCACTACCATTGACCATCCAGGGATGGTCCAGGTGGCTTCGGCTCGTCCGCACCCCCAATGAAGTTCTTGTAATATGACGATATCTTCCTTGCATGCTGTAGTGAGCCAGAAATGAAGGTGATCGTAGACTGGCCCACTAACCCCGCCCAGGTTGTAACTGCGCACTCGGAGCCTGGCTGTCGGCCTGCATTTGGCCTGTTGAAGTGGCCGCGGCTTGGCTGACGCCATCGTTTGGCTAGTGCCTACGCTGCGTGTGCCCAGAGCCTCCGCGCTCATCCAGCGTCCATGATAATACGTGCCACCATGTTGTTCTGCTCTACGGCGTGCTCTGCGAAAAGCCCGTTTTCTAACGGCCGAGTACCGCACTGTATGACTATCCTCCGGCCCAGGAGGTTTCGCTACGTACGATTGCGCAGCTCTTGAGCTCCCTGTGGGACAGAGCTCAACCCTCGGGTCTCTACCCTGCTTCTCTCGAAGTTCTCGGGATTGTAGCATGCCAGGGTAGGGCTGGATTTGGGACCAGCCCGGCCAGAAATGGAGCACCACAAAGAAGAAGGCACCGAAACGACAGGTTAGACTTGCTGTATGCACCATGAACCCTGGCAAGTCAGGAAGCGAGCTACCCTGGCACCTTGTTTCACTCCAGCCGAGACCCTTAGTAGTAGTAGTAGTAGTAGTAGTAGTAGTAGTAGTAGTAGTAGTAGTAGTACTAGTAGTAGTAACAGTAGTGGTGGTGACAGTGATGACGCTAGACGAAGAAGAAGATGATGATATGATGATGTAATGAACGTTCCCTCTAATATTTCTGCGTGAAGGATGTCCGAATTGGTGGCCTTGTCGTGCAGCGCTTCATTCCTTGCCTTCGGCCGAGGGCGCATCAGCCGTGCACATTACTATTTGCATGAGTGTCGACTGAATTCTTGTGTGGGCAGAATGTGTGGGCATGGAAGAAGCCTCAATATCTCATGCCGCTGGACGGGATTAGCGCGCTGCGCCACATCGTGATGAAGGCTGCTATGACCAGAGCCGTCAGGACTCATTGACAACTTCCAGGACTTCAGGTCACAGCCCGGCGGTCTCGTCGTGATGAGACGCGCCATATTCCACACTACTGCACGACAGATTCAGCAAGCCGGCACAACACCACACTCGACCATACGCACGTTGCCACAAGCTAAAACAACGTTTTCGCTGTAGTGAATTTCCTACCATGTTTTCTGTAAGCCACTCCAAGCCATGCTGCATGGACCCGGCGGTGCTTCTCAGCAGCAATCAGCTTCAACAGATTGGATGCGGCATGGATGTTACACCTGCTGCCTTCTCGAAGAGTTTCCTCTAGTCTCGTGTGTGTGTGTGTGTGAAACAGTCGCTCGAAATAAGCTGAGCTGAAGTTTCTTGACATCCGGTTTCATCTTGGTGTTTCTGGAGTGTCAATGCAGTGCTTAGTGTGCTATGCATCAGTAGAAGTCAGACTCATCTCAAGCGAAGTGGTGAGAGTGCCTTATGAGA